GGTGCATTGAGTAGCGGTCTTCGAGGAAAATCGTTAATACCATCCTATATCATGGATAGCCAAGGCCGAGTATGATGAATCTGGTCCATCAATTGTGCATAGAAAGTGCTTCTGATTGGCCAAAGAAAACTACTTCCATTTACGGGTCAGAAATGCAGCTAGCAAAGTTTTATTCTAGCTTTATTTCCTATATTCTTTTTTGTTCTCATATTGAGGTCCAGGAGTTATTCCTGGACATTCCTATTCTTTAGTTTTTATACGATTTGACAAGTTTTCAACTTCTTTTATGCTAGTCTTTAGCACCCTTTTATTGGGCAATGATTGAAATTGGCATATTTTTTGTTGGTATAGAAAATTTATGTTGTACAAATCAATCTACAATTCTTGTGAAATTGTATTTTTATTGGCTATTAAGTTCCTAAACTATTATATCAGTATCACGCACTGTAGTCCCGAATAGACGAAATACGTCCAATTGACTCCTAAATGGCGTCAGTTATAGTGTCTATTTTTAACAGTCAATACACAAAATCCATCTATTGGGGACCGGAATGTCACTAAAGTCACATATATGAGAATAGACAGATGGAATGGAGGAAACCTAGAAGGTTCTCAATCTCAAAATGGTATATGTAAAGTTACAGTGTGGACTCTAGTATTTTATATTGACAATGCTAGCCGATTTAAACAAGATTTGGTGAAATATAAATAAGTAAGATACATTTCTTGTTTATAGATCCACTTGAGCTAAATAGCATTAATCATAAATATGCAACCATAAAATATTATATGCATACTTTTAAGCAATATCATAAAGAATTTGTTCACTCAGGACTTAAGGTGACTCAAGTATCATAGTCGAAGATATAAATGTCTTGTATAACCTTTACATGGGTTGTTCTGTGTACTTGTTATGTAATGCCGTGTATTTAAAGAATGTGTGGTTCAAAATGAATTTTGAAAGAATGAATTTTTGTAGAATGTGGATCAAACATGGGCAAATAAAAACCACCTTATCTCCATTTAACTTACACGTGGTGGGCTACAACCTTTATTAAATACAATATTTAATTTAAATAAAAACCAATTAATAACAATTTTTATGAACCTTTAACTTTTTCTCGAGCCTAAAATAGATGATTAAATATGATCTATCCAACGAGCACAATATTGATATACTTATCATCGCTCTATCAAAATGTAAATATTTGACCCAAGTAAAATTGAATTTAATACTATTTTATCTTAGTTCATTAACTTTACAAAATTATAAAAATATAGCAGATAGAACAAATAGCTTTATTCTATAAAATTTCCGGGCCTTATAGTATGATTCAGAGCCCAATTGCAGCAATAGCTGTTATACCCAATTCAACACATAAGGCGTTGATATCAGGTTCCTTCAACAGACTAAATGCACAAAATCCATTATAAGAATGGTAAAGATCTGGCAGCAAATCCGGGAATTTACTGAAACCACCATACTGACATGAAGAAGAAAAAGAAATCATCAGTCCAGAGATTGTTTCTAGAAAAAAAGGAGCTACTACAGCTTGCTTGTAAATGAACCATTTTATCTAAACTTGCAAGGACAACAATATAGGACAGAGGGGCTGAAGAATTTTACACAGAATATTTAAGTAAAGCAATAACATTTAGCTTCTTTACTAATCCAAGAAACCACATTCAACAAACAAAATAGTTAAATCATAAGTAAGTCGTGGGCATTTAACCCTCAATCTGAGGGCTGACAAGTCAAGCAAGCTTGCAAGCTATCAGAGCGTGGCAAAAGCTATGCTTAAATCCAAATTATTCAAGTCCAAGCTAAGCTTGAGCTTGATGGTGGCAGTTTGCAAACGAACAATCACATCAATGACTTATTTTTCATTTATAAAATAATGCGTGCTATATACATGTATATATTACATTACCAGTAAGACGACAAAAATTACTTTCATATTCTCAGCCTTCAGCTTGAGCTTAAATTAGGCTCGAATCATGCTCAAGTTCAAACTCCATACTTCCTAGTCAGCCTAGCTCGAGCCTCAACATCATAGGCTCAGTCTCAAGAGCCTGGCATAGTTTATTTGATCTCCAGATCGAGCTGACACTTAAAATTTTTCCAAATGTTCAGCTCAGCACGGTTATTGTACTTCTACCTTATACATAACATTACCAGGCACCATGGAATAGGCAAATATTCAAGAAGTAGAAGGTTGTAATGGTCAATATTCTCATGTTGTGCAGTTGCAGGTCTGTGTGCATGTTCATATGTTTCTCTAATCATATGAGATTTTTTGGATGTTAAGTATCTTATGACGCCATAGAAATCTATCTTACTAGTTGTATTCATTTCCTTAGAACCTAAAGTCACAATGACATGATTGTACATATAATTATGAATATAAGCCACCAAAGCAAAAAGGAGAAATATAAGCACCTCTGATTGACATGTTAATAGAAATCCACGCAAACCTCCCTCATCAATGAATTTGTCGGCCCCCAAGATCCTTAGAACTCCTCCAACCCTATAGAAGCACAATGCCATTGTAAAGTCATGACAAACATATTGAATAAACTGAGCATATGCAAGGGCACCATACCAAAAAGCATAACATGTATCAGCCGGCTTATTTGATCTACCTTGAAAGCCACCAAATTGTGCCTGCCTCTGCACCAGACAAGGACAGTGAAATCATTCTCATCAGCAAAAAACACAGATTGAAAAGATAGTAATGGACTCATATCATGAGAAAGGGGTGAGTCGTGGAGGTATTGACTAGTAGAAATAAATGCCCATAGGGAGCTTGTCTGTCCTTCATCTTCCATAAACTAAGGTGAAGCTTAGTCATTGTCCTCTAAAGTAAATTAGAAAATAAACCTGCAAGCTCCAATAAAGAAGTGATGGCATGATTATGGTGCAAGAAGATGCATTTTCAGACAGTATATCTTCGTCAATGAATCCCATCAGTCGGAGAGATGCAACAGCACAGTAGGTGGCACCACCTGTGACACAAAGAATTACCATCCATGAATGTTAACGATTTGCACTAAATCAATTAATATTCACGGTTCAATGTAATACATTCTGCAGTAAAACAAAAGTGGGACATGCGTGTCCAGTTTATCACAACTTCACTCAGATTATACTCATATCTTATTTTCAAGCAAACAAAATTATACAGCAAAACACTGAGTAATGACTAATTATGTGGGATTGAAATGTTTTTTTGTTCAAGTCAAAGGGAATCTGCAGGTTAGTTCTTGTAATTGTCTCTACAGCAGGTGAAATCTTAGTTCTCTTTCTCCTTATAATAGCAACAATAAAATAAGAAATTACGTTTGGGTCAAATATTTATAATTTATATGCAAGACAGTTAAATTGATCACCAAATAAAATTTAGTGGAGGTAGTTCATCATCATGGCTATATACTAGATTGTGTTGACACAGATACTCACCAAGTACCAATGGCATCAAAATTCGGTAAGGCATATCTTAATAATTATAATGAGATACTGTCCTCAACACATCTGTTCTCAGGCAGCAAAGAATAATAGTTTTTTTTTTTTGGCATACAGAACCTAAATATTTAAAACATGTTTTTGCCTATATTTTTTCATTTCCCTTTCCTGTTTCTGGTGGTGGCAGTCACATCAAGGGCTTGGCTACTCCATTATTGTTAGCCATGATATACTGTGGTATAAGCAGTAGAATGTCCAGCTTCTTCTATAAACTCCTGTTGTTGAGTGAACAAAACTTTAGCTTGGCAGTACTGAACACGCAGGATTTAATATAAGAACACAGTGACTAATTAAGGCTGATTCCAGCAGAAAATTGCATATCAGCTCATACTTCAAGAGGAGACTTTCTTTCACCACCAGTTCATGAAAAGCCATTTACCTGGTAACTTTTTGAAGAAAGAGTGCAGGCAACCCATTACACGATGAGATAGATGAAAGTGGAGACAGTTGATATACAGTCATACAAGCAATACACTAGCAAGATAGATCAAAAAAAGATATGGTCCACTCACCATGAGATTCTGAACCAGGTATCAACCCAAAACCACCATCATATGACTGCAAAGCACATACAATATTCAAGAACTTAAAATTTATTATTCTGGGAAGAAAACATCGGAAAATAATAGAAAGATGCCATAACAAAAAAGAACCGACTGTAAGTTACATCAAAGAAGAACAACAGAAGATGGCTAAAAGAATGTATAGCAGATTAAATACCTGGCAACTTATTATGTAATCCTTAGCTTTTCCCCTATCCATGCCACTCCAGTTCTTCAACATGGAACAAATGGCCGCTGCATCAAATATTTGGTTAATTCATATTCAACAGCAACTAAAACTCAAAACAATAATTGTAAAGCACAAAATACAAATCCGAGATCCGTCTCTGCCCCAATATGAATGGGCATAAAACTTGGACAGATGAAATACGTTGACTCAGATAGCCAGATCAGTCATTTAGATAAATTTTATTAGTCCAGTCTTTCAAGCTATACTTAGAAAAGGATCAAGTGAAAACCAACACCATGTCATCTTTTAACCTATTAAATAATAAAACATTGATAGCTTATTTTTCACTTTTCCAGTAAAACATTTATCGAGTGATTCTTAAAATTTAAGTTACAAGAAGAATTTTGTTTAAAGCAGCCATGTTTCAGCCTTCAGGTCCCAAAAATAACAGTGAAACAAATGAATATCATTCTTTAAGAAATTGAGATAGGCAAGAGGAAATGAAAAGGACAAAAGGGTGAAGGAAGATTAAGACGAGAAGGTTACTTTCAAATAAAACATTTGAATTTCATCGGACTGAAGTCTGTACTTCCTAGAAAATTTTCATTGTATGTAGTTGTAACAGGCTGTTGTCATGACACATAGGTGTGATCCCAGTACTTTTTTTGTTTTCCTTCGTCTCTTCTAATTCTATTAATTAGTACATAATATATAAACCTTAAACGTACAACACTTAGTTTCTCCTTTTCTAGAGCACTGCTAAGTGATAATTGAGCCTTAACGTATACATACATCCATATACACAGTGGATAAAAGTAGCTATGGAAATTGAAAATTTATAATCTATACTATGCATTTAATGGAGGAGCTTTTGGGTAACCTGGATTTGCAGACAAATTTGATTAGTCTAGATCAGAAAAGTTAACATGTTGAACCACAAGAGCTTTTGCTTGAAAACAACATAACTATAGTATTACTAGAAGGGCACCAATGAAGTCAAACTAAAGTCCTAAAATGTCAAATGACCATATCTGAAATCATTTGACCTTGTGCATGACACATTTCGTATCCATGTTATACACCCCTTCCTCCATCAACAATGATTCCACAGAGCACGTTTGGCTAAGCGTAAGTACATTAGTAATTTTGAAACAAATAAAGTTTTTAATGATCAATGTTGGAAATAAGTTACTTATTTTGACCATAAGGCATGATTTAGTTTCAAAATAAGTACCCTTTTTACATAAAAGTAACAAAAAAAGAAAGTTATCAAAACATGTTTTGTCAAACATGCTCCTAGTCCAAAAACAGTCCAAGAACAACTGCATCCTGGTTCCTCCACATTTTCCACATCCATCTTCTCCCTTTCACACCCACTTCCCATTGTTTTAAAGGGAAGCAAGAACAAAGAAGATGAGAAAAATCATGAGAGCTAAATTCATGGGCATTAGATCGACCACCAGTATCAGACATGAAATTCTATAAAGATAGTTCACTTTTTTGTAGAATAGATTTTAATCTCTCATTGGCCACTAATTGTTTTACCCCGAAAGTCACTCATTAACTTCTTGTGATTAAATTATATACGTCTCACTATAAATCAAGTTTACCTCCTAAGAATATGTTTTATGAAGTGGAAGCAATTCAGACTGGCGACACTTTTTGGTCTCTCTCATTGAGCTAAAAAGTAACCATCATCGCCATCCATATACATAATTACATAACTACCCACTTCTGCATATTGTGGATAAATTTAATAAATAAGTCCCCTTAAACTTTTAGGTAAGGTGGTTCAATATGGTATCACAACATATAGAAGTTCAAGTCCTTGAGCCATCCATTTATGAAGATTGTGCATGTATTAAATCTAGATATAAATCTGATAAACACGTGAAGGGCATGGTGATGTCTAAATTAAAATAAATAAATGTCCCTCTCTGGCGCTTAAACTTCCCCACATATTTTTGTGTAAAAACTGTTTTAGAATAATGAAAATCTATGCCAACAAGAGGACATAACAGCAATTGAAGATAAATTAAGCCAATGGCGAATTAAGAGGTTAAAACATGTGATGAAAATCAAGATAAAGATAAAAGTGGAGTTAGAATTATAACAGAATCTTAAGGAATCCAAGACATGCTCAAAATATAGTAACAACCTAATATAAGAACAATCAAAAGAAGAATTATGTGCCTCACCTCCCATCAGGCTGCTGAAGGTTTCTCATTGATCCCAATAAAGATTTAGAGTCAACAAGTGATATATCATAGCCAACCGTCTTTAATATCGCTATGGCACAGTACGTGCTAGCCAGGTGACTTCCATTGGGGATTGCTACCTGAAGGTAGAAAATAAAACATTCAATAACTGCCGCAAAAAAAATAATAATAATACACCATTTCCAGAGGATTTCCGCCAAAATCACTTTGTGCATAACCTGTTCATCGGTCAAATGATATTGAGAGCTTCTAGAACCATGGAACCCGTAAAGTTGTCTTGTAAAAAATAAATTTTTTTAAGAAAACATTCACCATAGTAATTATAGCCTTAAATCTGTCTAACGAAGTAAACATGTCTTCAAAAACAAAGAACCTTACCATTGTTCAATTCAACATTATTCTTTGGATGAGATTGCAATGACAAAACCCAATGAATTACAGCTTCTTTATCAATCTAGAGAACCAAAAAAAAATCATGATCAGGAAGCATGCCATAGAACTTCAGAGCAACTGCCTAGTTAGATCACTAATGTCTAATACTATCCTTTCTCAATACTTAATTCAATATACAGTAAAATTGTCAAACATTTACTTCCTCTTTCTACCTCTTCTACTGTTTGAAAGAAAGGTTGAGGGAGAAGGGCGTCCAATTTTCTACCTTCCACTTCTTTTCTGGCATAACTTGTGAAAGAAAGGTTTCATATTAGCAGGTGTCCATTTCCTTTCCCATCAATGAGGCCGGCATCCCAAAAATTGAAGAATAGGAGCTTCCATTTTAAACCCAATAAATTGTGCATCCACACCCAAAGTTACACTATGAATATACACGATATAGTGATGCAGAAAAAGAAAAACACAAACTGCTTCAACGTTCACACCATGAATTTCAAATGACTACATAAATTGCAAAAACTAATCCCAATACTTGGTTTTGCCTCTAAAACAACACAATTTACATCTAAAGATCACATAAGCTTTGGATTCAAAGATAAATTTTAACTTATCCACGGAAAATTTGAGAAAATCGTCCATCGGTTCTGAAGCTTCTCTACTACATTTTGGCTTATATTAGACATGCAGCTTTCTTATTTATTCACTCATACTTTTTATGGAATTCTGATTTCAAAACCTCCGAATCCTCGGAAGATGATAATGTTGGATTGTTTTTCTAATCATGGACTAGCATTTACATTAGGCTATTGGACCATGATGGGATGGGCCATTTTTATTAGTGGAAATTACACCCTTTGCTACTTTTTTTGAAAATCCAAATTTCAAAATCAGATTGTGGAAATTACACCTATCCCTACATTTGGAGATCCAATTTCCAAAATCAGATTTTATCTTTTTTTTTTCAAAAATCAGAACTTTTTAAAATAGATACAAGTTTATTATATTTAATTAAATATTATAAAAAATA